TGGTTGCAGGGAACCCAGGTCAATGGAAGGGACATCACCATTTGGTCCAAATACAATGACCTCCGTTTTGCTCTCATTTATATTTAAAAAGTTTAGCGCCATCCAGACCTTTATGTCATTAAGATAATAAAACCTCTGCATTAAGTATATATAGCAGTGACTTCATCCTGATGTAATGTACATGACTCTGGGGAGATCATGGCCTTTAATATAAACAGCCGGTCCTGGTTCGGGCTGTCTCTGTTTATCAAACGTCTCCAAATATCATGCCTCACCGCCTCCTGCTGAAACTACAGTTGTGCCAAAAATGAATATTTATTTTTAAATTGATCATTTTAGTGTCCGTGATGTACCACGTTAGCCTTTTGAACATCCGAGTTATCATGAATTACAGAGCTATAGTTAAATATGGTAAACGTACATTATGATTGTTAATGCACTGAAGATATGCACGGAGAAACTGATGTCATGTTATGCAAAGATACTGTCATATATCTCAAGGTCTGAAAGTTTCCACACATTTACATGTCTCATCTCGTCTGCACATCAGTAGTGTCATGGCCTGGCTCTTGGCCATAACAAAAAGGAGGCAGAGGAGACAAATAACCAATGTTCTGATTTAAAAAGAAAATGAGGTTACAGTTAAAAAATCTGGAGTATGAAGGGAGGAAGCAGAGATATGGTGTGGGAGAGAGGGAGAAAAGGTTAGTCATAGTTCTGCTGTCTGTGAACTTGAGAGATATTTGACTTTTCGTCAGTAAAGGGAGGAAGGGATCACAGGAAGGAGATAAGGGAATCGGCTTCCTGACCACTACACATTCCTCCACCCGAATAATAAGAAAAACCTCAGGGCCGAGTACTCTCAGCTCCAATGCTTGAGGTATTTTTGACTTTTGACTTGAATATTTCCATCGTCTGCTACTTAATACCAGAGGTGAAAAGTACATTTACTTAAGTACTGTACTTAAGTTCAATTTTGACATACTTGTACTTTACTTGAGTATTTACATGTTGTGCTACTTTGTACTTCTACTCCACTACATTTATTTCATACCTTAAAATACTTAACAGATGTGGATGAATGATGTGAAATATAATCAAGTGTTAAATCAGACTTTAGTTCCACCTGGAGTAAATTCACAAGCTACCCTGCAGTATACAAAGTCATTCAAACTAGCTGCACCTTTACCAGCTTTGATAACACTTTAATGATCAATCATTATACGATACGATACGATACGATATACTTTATTGTCCCCGTAAGGAAATTTGTTCTGGACTCCGTCCTGCAGTTCAGCATACATGTACATATACAAACATAGTGGACATTAAGAGACATACACATATCATCAGTCATACACCGTTTGAACAAACACAATACACAGACGCACATACTGACAATGGCGACCTATTGCACTCCCCCTCAAGGCCAACATTTATGTTTTATAAAACATATCATATATATTATTCTGAAATGGACCTGCACAATGACTACTTTTACTTTAGGTACTTTAAGTATATTTTGATGCTAATACTTATTGTACTTTTACTTAAGTATCATTTTGAATTAATGTTACATATAAATCCTGTATAATAATATGTTATTATGTGGACTGTAGACAGACATTGAATATAGTATAGTATTGTCATATTTCATTATATTCTAATGCACTCAGTTTCCAACATTATTATATTGTGTGTAAATATTGCCTTTATTTTTAATTTGTCACAATAGTTTCTTTTTAAATAGCTTTCATAATTGCACAATTTAAAACAATTTTTAAAAAAGAAGTTTGCTACGTATTCTTCTTCCTGTTTCTCTGAATTACGGTGCATTTCTACAATGTTAGCATGATATGGCATCTCCTTTCAACGCTGCTTGTCTTTATGTTGTGTCTACTATTTTTATGAAGTATCTTTGATTCAGTGAGTCATGACTTCATGGGTAAATCCGGGGAACTTGGCACCGGGTCACTCCTCGGTCACTGACCGGAATTCCCCAAAAATGCTTAGACAGCCCTCCCTCTGCCTAGTTTCATTTTCTCATATCGTTGTCTGTCTTACAATAACGCGGCTGGAAACCCCCAGCAGTTCTCCGAGCCTTATAAAGCTCTGCCTCTCTGAATGATCAAACTAAAAGCTGTCTCGGCTAACTATTGAATTCGTTACAGCTGTTACTTTCTATTTCACTCGCACTCTCTCGGTCTTTTGGACTTCACCCTTTTTTATTACCGGACACCTCATCTAGCGGAAATAATGTTTTTCTGTTACATATTTGTGGTGGTTTCTTTGATTAACTTTCTGCCAGACTTCCACGTTTCCAGTTGTGGTAAGTTTTTCAAATGTGTGCTTTTATAAATATGTTATTGTCGGTTAATCTCACTTAACACCTGGCTTGTGTGGTCATGTATTCTTTAATGATTCCTGATGTTTTAATGTTTGTCAAGCACTTTGTGACTATGTCTGTGAAAAGCGCTTTATAAATACATTTGACTTACTTACTTACTTAATGTTGATACCTTGTATTATAAGAGGGCGTTTCACACAGACATCCTGTCAAATACAGAATAGTGGTTTGTTTGAAAAGCGATTTTTATTGTCATACAGCACTTGTATTGTATCTGATTTAGGGACAATGGTTTGCCAAACTATGTTACTACTGTATATCCCAGTGAAGTAGTAAGAAGTTCAGCCTTGTCGATGTTTCCATCCTCTATTGCTTAGTAGGCTATAGTTCATATGGAAATATGAAAATAAGTTGTATCTCGTTTTTAACAATCTGAATATCATACTTAGCATTGTGTGTAACCAGACTTGGTGCTCTGGTGGTGGGCACTGTATATAATTAAGGTCATGCCACTAGAAACAAACAACTGTGCACTGATTAGGAGAAAATCCATATACCTCAGTAGTAAATAAGTTACCATGATTGAGTTAGTTAGTGATTGACTTCCAGTAATGAAAATGTAGGTTATACTATTTCTAAATGTACATCTGATTTAGGGAAAAGATTTGCCAAGATGTGTTTCCATTGTTCTCTATTCAACTCAGAGCAATGATAGTAAGCACCCTAATGTAGTTTAGATTACATGCTCTTTTCTATAGTGCTGGCTAGCTCATACTGTAGGTTCATGTTGAAAAAAAAATACAATTTTCATAATCTGAATGTCATACTTAACATCCTAGTGTTGGTGTAACATGTGTTGGTGGTAGGCACTACTTAGATCATGCTACTAAAACAACCTACAGTAAGTTATAAAAGTGAAAATGTCCAATTCAGATTCTTTAAAATAACTATCAGTGTGAACTGTTCTAATCAGAGGAGAATAGGCACAGTATTAAATAAGGATACCTACAACCTTATTGAGCAGTGGTTTACTGGAAGTGAATTCATGCAAATATAGTTTAGTCTTTATTTATTTTGATGAGTGTTCTGCTTGATATACTTTTGCAATGTGTTTGTGCAAAATAACACGAAAGGAAGAAAAACATTCATGTTTACAGATCATTTTAAGTTGTTATATTAGGGTAAAATATAAATAGATTGAATAAACAGACAGACAACACATAGGCTATTGTATGTAGCACTTATTAAAGGCGGGGTATGTCATTCACTTCAGAAACACTTTTTGTTATATTCCATGGAATGCTCTTAACATCCCGATAGCAATGAATACATGAAATGCTTTGACAATAAATACATTAAAAAAAATTCATCTGTGGAAGCCGTAGCGCTGTAAAAAGCACGACCAATCATCTGAGCCGGCCCGGCTAAAATAACTGGATGGCCTACCTGCCTGTCAGCCTTCTGTGTGTTGGAGGAGGGGCTCTGTAAGGAAGTCTGAAGGAAAGGGCAAATTTTCCCGGTTGTGTACTTTCAAATTCTAGCGCACTGGTTTCTCCAAAATTACATACCCTACCTTTAACTTCGGATTTCTTGAATGAGCAAGTTTGATTGCATTGCTCATTTTAAATCAGGCTGCTGAGAACATTAGAACAACTACAACATGTAAAATGAAAAAGCATTAATGTGTTTGTGTACGGTTATGTTAGAGTCACGGTGTTTAAACTCTATATTGTGTCATTTGCTGTGTGTTACAGATCAAAACTGTGCAGATAAACCTCGGTTCACTCCATCCAGACTGGTGGTGCAGTTTGGGAAGCCGGCCTCCACCCACTGCTCCGTGTGTCAGCCTGGATGCAATGTCACTATGTTTAATATTGAAAGTCCAATTGGAAACAGTACAGAAAATGGAACTGAGATTACATGGAAGGTCAACAAAATGACTGAGTGGAACATTTCTCCAATGTGCTATTATAACAATGACACTACTGATGTGCAGTGTTGCAGCATCCTGCCTATAACTGTCTACAGTGAGTCACAACAACTGTTTATATTCATCAATTATAATCTAACACAGTGGTGGGAAGTAAGTACATTTCCTTAGGTAATGTACACTTTTTCTACTTTGCTTAAGTATTTCAATATTATCCTACTTTAATGCTTTTAATCCACTATGATTCGCTAGCCGATATGGTACTTTTTACTCCTCCACAGTTATTGGTTACTAGTTACTTTGCAGGTTTGTATTATTGATATGAATATAAATGAACTTTTCAATCATGATGGACTATCATCATGACAGTATATTACCTATATGTCATTATATTTCCAGTAGGAGACCCTTCCTTAACTTCCGACTGACTATAAGTAATAAAAAGTCATTAAATGTAGCTATTCCTTTACCAGCTGCACAATTTAAATGATGACGGTGTCACTCATTATAATCAAATGACATGATACATACATCTCAAAAAGGCCTTCTGCATAATAAGTGCTTTTTGATTCTTGTACTTTTGTACTTTTACAAAAATAATTCAATGCTTTTACTCGGGAGAGAGTAAAACAATTTGTCCGGCTCTAATCTAACATCTAACAAAGTGTAGGGGCTTTAATTATGTTTCATGGAGATACTGAATGTGTCCGTTTGTCTCCACAGCGCCTCCAGAGAATGTTTCCTTCAGCGTTCACCCTGGTGTGCCGATGTCTGAGGGTCAGCAGTACACTCTGCAGTGTGAAGTTCAGGATGTTGCTCCTGTGGAAAACCTCACAGTGACTTTCTACAGAGGACAGACGGCACTGGGTCCCACGCAGAGCAGCATAAACAAAGATAAGAAACTAGTGAGTGAGGTCTTCACTTGGAACATCACCTCCACTAAAGAAGATGATGGAGTCGAGTTCTGGTGTGAAGCAAAGCTGGAGCTGGGAGCTGACGGACCACAGCCTCCTCCAGTGGTGGGGTCAGAGAAACTCACTGCTGCTGTCCTCTGTGAGTCTGACCAGATCATTTAAACACCTCAAAGAGGCCCTATTCTGCGTTTAGGGGTGTTCCTTTCCTCACTGATATATAGCTTTGTGTGCATTCGTCTCCTTGAAACGCCTCCATTAGACTCCTTTGTTTACTTCTGTAACATAAAAACATCGCTATGTAACCGTTAGGAAAATATCGCTCGTCACCGGCTTGAGCTTCAATACTCAGTCATCACACACAGAGCATTTAGTTCCTGAACAGTGTCCTTCACATGCTGATATACAAGAGAGGGACTTACACAGTCACAAGATGGAGGAATACCGGTTCAAAGCAGTATTCAATGTTTAGTTCAGATTAGCTCCACGTCAGAAATGATCATGCTTGTCATATGTCTATCTCCATAGAGGCTGAATCATCATGTTAATCACATAGCTATCATGTGCCTAAAACAGTCCTGATGCTCTTCTAGGTAATCATACATCCTGTTACGCACACAGCTACATAGGTCCTTTGTTATCATGTGCTAATTAATCACAACAGAGCCGGCCAGCTAACCAATCAGAGCAGACTGGGCTCTGGTTTCAGACAGAGGGTGAAAAGAGGTGCTGCAGCACAGGCAGTATGAGAAGAATAAAGAGCTTTTTGAACATTAAAGCATGGAGACATGTCCCAGTAGAGGAACAGAATACAAATATGAACCTTAAAATGAGCAGAATGTGACCCCTTTGACACCATCTTTATAAGGTTGGCCTCTTCTGCAGTGATGGAAGTGTTCATGATCTTTAACTTAGAGAGGCTCATATCAATAGCGGCTCTAGGAAGTCCAAAAAAAGGCGAGAGGAGCTAAACACAGGAACTTAAACAAAACGGCTCCCATCCTTCCGTTCGCTTGACAATTTATTATAAACAAGCGCAAAAATATAGTACCAATAGTTGAAGTGAGATGGCGATTGTGACTGCGGTGAAATTGCGATAGAAAATGTGGGTAAAAGTTGCAGCAGAATAGAGACCTTGCATATGACTGCTCCTACAAATACAATTATAATTGCAATGGATCACATGGAAAAGAAGAAGGATGAGATTAAACCACTTGTTTTTAAGACACATCGAAGCTTCATACATTGGGGGTATTTGCAGACATGTTGAGGCACAGAAGGTTAACATCTCTTTCATTAACTCTTGTGTTTTTTATGCTTAAATCTTAGGTTTTAAAGTAACTAGTAACTAGCTGTAGGATACATTAAGGGAAATTAAAAAGAAAATCTGTTTTATATTACATAAATAGCATTTTGGGATTATTCACCAAGGTATAAGCGAAACAGGGTCTTCAGTGTGCGATGGAATATATGGAGACTCTCATCTGTCCTGTTATCAGTGGGAAGCTCGTTCCACCATTTTGGAGCCAGGATAGCAAAAAGGCGTGTCTTTGTTGAGGTTTACCTGGTTCCACTTCACAGAGAGGTAGCAGCAAGCCGATTGGCAGATGCAGAGAGAAGATCAGGGGTGTCCAAACTACGGCCCGGGGGCCAAATGCGGCCTGCGGGCCATTTTGAATCGGCCCTCAGCAAATTCAGAAAGTATAATGTAATATGGCCCACAAATGAAACTTGTGCTTTTCTTATATTGTACTTCTTAAATATATATATAACAATATATTACATAGTAGTATTCATGTGTTGATAAGCCCACTTTTATTTCAGTTTCAGTTTAATTCAGTTAATTCATGTTGAAAACATTTTCTAACAAAGCTTAGTTGATAAAAGAAGAACAATAACTTATTTACATAACCAGCTTGAAATAGACCCTTCATATTTCCCCTTATGATAATCAATCTGAGGCGTCTGGTTTAAGGGATGAGCTGCCAACAAGATAACTGAAACCCTATAGAGAGCTGTGATGTAGGCTGTTTTGTGAAGCGTATTCATGTATTGAGCCTAATTTACCTTTGCTAACTTATAACTTAACTTACGAGGCAATATACCTCACCTCTATAAGTGGCCCAGCCCTTCGTATATTTTTCTGTATGTTGCACTCGGTGAAAGAAGTTTGGACACCCCTGCCGTAGATAGATATATACTTATATATTACAGCATGGTAGGCCAGTACAGTTGTCTTGAAGCGTATTCTGGCAGCCAGTGGAGGGAGTGAAGAAGCGGCGTAGTGTTGGAGAACGTTTTCCTTTGAATCGTAGTGGAGATGAGGAAGTGGCATGAAAGGAAGTCAGATTTTCACTTCAGTGCAATACTTTAGTAAACGTACTTAGGTCATTTTCAGCCTTATTACTGGCATCTAAACAAAAACATAGTGGTTTAAGGGAACCAGAAATGCTAACTTATTTTTAGGTTTAAGGACTCATTCCTGCACTACTCGCTAATGTGTGTATATTCTCATATTTGTGCCCATTTTACTGTAATGACGTGTTGTATTTCTTCCTCCTCAATCCACTCACAGATAAGCCTCAGCGAGAGGTATCCATAACTCCGGATCTGATCATCCTCACAGAAGGAAACCCTTTGAAGCTGAACTGCTCGTCGGTGGGAAACCCCCCACCATCGTATGAATGGACGCCGCCATCAAGAATCACTTCCCCCTCTAATGGCAGCGTCTTCTTCATCAACTCTATAACTCATAAAGATGAAGGGTCATACACCTGTTACGTCAGCAATGAAAAAGGATCAATCGCTGTTGAGTTTGACGTGAAGGTCCAAGGTGAGTTCAAACGTCTTTTTTTATTTAGTACATACAAAAGATGCACAGGACATGACAGTGAGAGGAAATGACAAAACCATATTTATATTTAATGTAAAATGCTATTTCTTGCACACTTAATGTAAATTGCCCTTCATAGTGTATATTTGACAGATAACAATCGTTCACTGTCAATATGTATATATTTTACTTTTCATGTAAACTGATGCATGTTAAATATATAAAACGATCAGATTAACCTTTAATTAATTTTATAAACAGCAATAAAAAATAAAATAAAGAACATAATAATATTAATAATAAGGATAATATTACTTTTATTAAAAATAATAAGAATCATCATAATATAATAATACTATTAATAATGTGGATAGTCCTTTATTGTAAATAAAAAAATTAACAAAAACAAAATTAATAAAATAATAATACTAAAAATAACAAATAATAATAATAATACTAAAAATATATATAATAATAAAAACAAATATAAAAATAATTATAATATCACTAGCACGTTTATTTATTAAGGACATTCCCCTGTCAGCTGACATGTTTGTTCAAGTTGAGTTTTAAGTAAAGTCTTCAGGGTTATAACTGTCGCTGTAAAGTAACCACAAAGTCGCTCTCAGTGTTACTTTCTCACAGCAGTGGAGAGTGTACTCTAACACACGTGACACGAGAAAGGAAGTTCATTGTTACTGTTTTGGTATTTGGCCTGACCTTTTATATTCTCTGTTCCTTTTCTTCTCTACCCTTCTCTCCACAGCCGACAACCGCATACTCATCGTAGGTCTGGTGGTAGCCGCTGTTCTTCTGGCTGTCATTGTGGGGGTGGCTGTATTTATCAGTTACCATAGATACTATAAAGAGGGAGCGTACAACCTGCTGTGGGATCGTATTCGTTTACACACAACACACAGTTCTATTCCCACTGCTGAGTAAGTCTGCTGGAGACCATGGTTGCAGTCGAATAGTCCAAAAATCAGCTTCTATCGTCTTTTCCTATCCATTATTCCTTGACCTCTGTGTGAAACGTCACGGGGTTAAGGGATAGTGGATAGAAGAATTAAAAAGGACTTAGGAAAAGAGACTGCGGTGCTTTGAGAATCCGACTTTGACTATCCGACGTATTTATGATGCGCCATGCGGACGTCATGAATGTGCGTCTGCTGCTGTGGGGAAACTACAGTTTTCTATACAGCGGACTACAACATGGATGTAGAATAAGAACGACGGACTACTGTATTTTATGAACGTGGACAACAGTGTATATTCTTCATGAACAAGGTTGGAATTGTAATACAAAAGTGAAGTGAAATGTATGCTTGTCACCCTCACCCTCCGGTCCACACGTGTTAATCCACATGAATCCCAATACGTATGATTGTATGAAAAGATCTTAAAATAAATACAAATGTCTTTATTATAAACGTTAGTCCTTAACATCTATCACTGTGTATATCACGATTAAAACATCTTTAAAAAGTTTAAGAAACCCCACACAGCTCAGTAAACACTATGAAATGTTGACTTTATTTTCAGTAAAAAAGCAACGTTCATATTTCTCTTTTTGTTTATAATACTGTTGAACGTTCAAAACAAAGCACTTTGGCAACTTACCACATAAGTTGTAAAATGCTTAATAATTACCGTAACTTTCATGATACTAATTTCTCGGTCATAATCGGTTGTTTACCTGAACGGCCGAATGTTGTATCACGATAAATGTTGCGGCCGCAAGGCATTGTGGGGCAGCATTTTCTCCTCTACCTTCGTAAAGGAAGGTCCAGTGTTTCCTAAGCTAAAGGAGGTTAAAGGAAGCTTCAAAGCTCCTTTCCTATCATCTAGAGAATCCGAACAGCTCTTATCATGGCTGCCACTGAAGTACTTCCGGGTCATTTCACTCCGTTAGGAAGTAAACTGAACTGACAATTCGACCGCAACCCATGAAAAAATTGTAAAAATGTTAAAACAACAAAAGGGGTTTTAAGTCCAATTTGGAATTTTCCTCGTCTAAATGGCATCAGTTGTCATCAGGATATGTTATGTCCTTACTTCACCTCCTAATTGCAAAGTAGGAAATGATCGTCTATTTCTAAGCTGGATTTCCGCAGGGAGGTTTTAAATTGTTAGGCGGCGACCACTTGCTGCAGTATTTAAGATTAGATTAGATTAGAAAACCTTATTGTCAATTACATTTCATTAAATGGACATCTTCCTTTTGCATGTTTGCAACACAGGGTAAAACAGACACTGCCAATACATACAATCCAGTAGGTGCAGCTAAAATACAGAAAATACTTTAAATATTTCACAGTGGTGATGCTCGTGTGTGTGTGTGTGTGTGTGTGTGTGTGTGTGTGTGTGTGTGTGTGTGTGTGTGTGTGTGTGTGTGTGTGTGTGTGTGTGTGTGTGTGTGTGTGTGTGTGTGGTGTGTGTGTGTGTGTGTGTGTGTGTGTGTGTGTGTGTGTGTGTGTGTGGCCTAGCATAGCATTAGGGGACCTAAATCTGTTTACAGTCACGTGTGGGGACTCGCCTCCCTTATGGGGACAAAATGGAGGAATCATTCATTTTAGGGTGAAGACTTGGTTATGTTTAGGGTTAGGTTACGGGTAAGGGTTAGGGTTAGGCATGTGTTGGTTATGGTTAAGGTTAGGATAAGTCTCCAGGAAATGCATGTAAGTCAATGTAATGTCCCCTGAAGTGATGTATACATGGTGTGTGTGTGTGTGTGTGTGTGTGTGTGTGTGTGTGTGTGTGGGTGTGTGTGTGTGTGTGTGTGTGTGTGTGTGTGTGTGTGTGTGTGTGTGTGTGTGTGTGTGTGTGTGTGTGTGTGTGTGTGTGTGTGTGTGTGTGTGTGTGTGTGTGTGTGTGGGGGGGGGGCAGATGAGGCGAGTTATGGTGGGTGCAAAAACTGTATAATAAAGACCTGCTAACTGGATCTTTGATAAGAAAGTGAATGGTGTGTTTAAACATGTAAATAAATGACTCTTTTTAGAATGAGATGTATTCCTGTGTCTTTAATGGAGGATTTATTGCATTTGACTTCACAAATACATAGAGCTGGAGTGTTAAAACAGCACACCAGTATGTAACACCACATTTTCTGCCTTTTATTATCTCATTATGTTAACTAAAGTATATCAGAAACCTTTTTTGAGATTTCCAATGGACTGATCTGACTTAAGATTGTCTGACATAATGACTAAGTCTTACAGTGTGACAAAATGGAAAGTAGGGTAAACCCCAAAACTGCTAGGGGAAATGGAAAAACCTAATTACTATTACCTATTACAGACTACTTCAGGACACTGGAAGCTTTCTGATCTTTTACGGGAAACGCCAGGAGTTTTTGTTTAGGGTGGAGTACATGAATGCATTTCCCTTGCACTCTTTACCTCTCCTAAGTTAACCCCTCTCAGACCAGGAAAAAACGTGGAGAAGATAAAAGGAAAGGAAAAGGAAATTTTATTCTAATCACTTATGATAGAGAAACTACTGATCAAGAAGCCTTGGCATAGCTGATAAAACCCACCTCAAAAATATGTTTTACAGATTTACAGAATAGATTTTCCTTTCATTGATATTAGACTAGAAAGAAAGCAGCTCCATTTGTATCTCCGACAGTCTTGTGTACAACAAACCTAATGACAGATTTTCTATTTTTGCAAACTATCATTGAATATTGTGGGAATGTTTACAGTGTGATCACTTCCCAAACACTTCCAGAGGAAAAACCTGTGCATCCTGGCCTGTAACTCCTGACCATTGCTTCCATGTTTATGTTGGCAAGCTTTTTTGTCGTTTGTGTGTCATTAACTTGACCCTGGAGCCTGTCAACGCACAAACAACTGGATGTAGAAAGTGAAACCTTTGGCAAGGCAAGGCAAGGCAAGGCAAGGCAAGGCAAGTTTATTTATATAGCACTTTTCAACACAAGGCAATTCAAAGTGCTTTACAAAAAATGAAAGAGATTAAGAAAATGGCATTTAAAATCAGTCATTAAAAAGAAAAGCTAATAAAAGAAACATTAAAAGAAAAAAATATATGGCAGTCAATTAAACATTAAAAGAAAAAAGTACATGGATAAAAGTTACAGTGCAGTCTAAGATATTAATAGTTCAATTAAAAGCAGCGACAAAAAGAAAAGTCTTCAGCCTGGATTTAAAAGTAGTCAGAGTCAGTAGTCAGAGCAGGCAAAATAGACAAAACATGGGATGGGAGTCCCTCTGCTGTGACACATCCTCATTAATGCATGTGTTTGTGCATATGTGTTTTTATGGGCCAAATGTTTATAGTTGCTGTCTGTGCATTTGTATTTGAAAAAAGCGGTAAATGTATATCTATATCATTGGTAAAATGGGACATTGCGCACAATAAGTACTTTTGGAACATTAAGTATATTTTGAAGCCAATACTTTTGAAGTTTTATTTGAGTAAGATTTTGATTGCAGGACTTTTACTTGAGTATTTTTTACAATTGAGTATTGATACTTTACTCAAGAACAAATCGGAGTACTTCTTCCACTATGTAAATATATATATAATTTTTTTGATTCAAGAAATAAGATCAAACATTATATACACACACATTGAAATCAGGGGTACAGGTACACATTATAATTTAATACAAAATAATAATAAAAACAATTACAAAGAAATAAAGAAAGAGATATTAAGAATCAAGAAAATAGTGAAACAAAAAACATTTCAAGTAAAACTATTTATCAAATACCCATTTGGTTTTAATTGCCTTCTTATTCTTTTGTAATTAGGTGCCATATTTTTGTAACTCTAAGTAAAAATGTGGAGTATTTCTTCTTCAATAAATAACCCTCCGACGCGCTGACGTCATGACGTGATTGATTGGATAAGAGGGGATCTCTGTAACCGGCTCGCCTCGCTAAGAGGATTTACAAACTCTTGATTTCTGTCCTATTTGCTGCCGCCATGTCGGTGTAAAGTCCCAGCTAAACCTCTACTTCACCGTGAACAGAAAGCGAAAACCTGTGGAGGAAACAGCAGAAAGAGCCGGAAGATGAGCACCGGAGCGGGGATCGATTACAGTGCCTGGGATCACGTGTACGTCTCGGACGATGAAGACGTGACCAGTCCGCACGTGGACACCCAGAGCCTGTTCAGGATGAGACACCGGGTCAGAAACCTGTAGTAACTGTGGTGTTTGGAGTCTGATAGGTTAGTTTCACCAGTAGAAGTGAATTAACTTGGTTAGTTTCACCAGTAGAAGTGATTTATGAGTAGTACACATCCACCAGAGGAGCCCATGAGAGGAGACCAACAGGTGTACAGGAGTCTGTGATGCTTGATAAAGACTTCAGCATCAGTGGTGGAATAATATAACAAAGTAAATGTATTCAAGTACTGTGCTTAAGTACTATGTTTACATACTTCAGTTTCCATTTTATGCTACTTGTAATTTTACTCCACACATTTTGGAGGCTAGTATGGTGCTTTTTACTCTACTACATGGCTTAACAGAAAATGTAAAACAAAAGGGGAAACAAAAGACAGTATTAAATGTGCACCTGACCTCTTCAAAGGTGTATAGTAAGATAAAGCCAACAAACACTAGAAAAGGGACTGAAATTATGAAGAATGTATAGCTGTGATTTTCTAATGACCTCTATGGAAGCCCATTTCCGCCACTGTGATAGACATAACATCATGTAGTTCATAATGGTAGTTCTCATACTGTATAGTCTATGACAGATCATGAGGGTTGTGTCTGCACAGCCAAGGCAACGTCACATATCACACCAACAGAGATGGTCTTTCACCGGGGGTTTCAGGTGGCACGTTGTTCGCCTGTACCTGCACAACCGGCATTTTCACTAACATCGCAGAAAATTGAGAACTTTGAGCTTTAAATATATTGTTTTTTTCTCTCACAGAGGTAAGAAGATAAAATGTTAACTACTCACAATTCCATGTCAGCCTGTGTCCTTGCTAAGATGTGTGTAGAAATGTTCTTGACATTTCCAAAGACCTGTCTGTTGTTTCATTCTGTTGACTTGCAAGATCTTTTGTTTCAATTAGATGCTTGGCATGAAACAAGAATCAGGCTCTTGGTATAACAGAAAACACATTAACGTAAATCAGTCATTCCCGACCTTTAGGGCTTGTGACCCCTTCAGATGTCCTGATGTGAACTGTTGCCAACAGTGTTTTCATTGACATGTTATATCTTTATTCCTAATCTGTTAATTGCCTGAACTACAACCCTACCGATTATGTTGCTCTCCCTCAGGCTCCAAATCGCTTTACATAAACATCAATAATGAGGCGTACAATTACAGG